AACTTCCTTTGCTAATCGATTCCCGGTCAGGGAACTTCCTTTGCTAAATCTAGTGGTTAGGATTCGGCGCTTTCACCACCGCGGCCCGCGTTCGATTCCCGGTCAGGGAACTTCCTTTGCTAACGCTTTCCCTGGTGGTCTAATAGTTACAGTGTCACTGTTTGGCTAGCTGTTATTCCAGACTTTTACGGAATTCAAACTTCACCACTTGCTCTAGCAATATTTATAGTAATGTCCTCGTCTCAGGAGGGTGTTTTTCTACATTACTTGTCCAAAGACGCTGTCACTATGCCACCACTTCCTCTTATTTTCATTCCTGAAGAAGAGTTTAACTTCAGAAAACGCTGCAGTCTTTAGATATTTAGTTGTTTCGAGTAATGTGTAACATACCAAATATCATATTTATTGTTTCACTAAAATAACTTTCACCAGAACAATATATATTTCCACCTCCGAAAGTTGATATAAAAGCCTATACTTTACATCATCCCTATTATATCCGTAAAGTTGCAAACAAATTGACTTCCTTGTTTATAGCAACGGAGAGATAAAGAAATTCTCCACTCACCTGCTAAAGAGATTGAACAAAATATAATCAGTTCTACTAAAAAGCAATTTATTGTTCCATACGTCTCCATTTAAAGCCGAATTGTAATAAAAAAAATTATATAATTGATGAACAAACAACATCCCAACGTCTTAACAGAAAAATGAAAGCGAAAGTAAATAGCACCGGAAGTTACAGGTGTGAGGTAAAATAATTAAAGTAAACGCATTTATTTATGAAGACCCAAGATACACCTCAACAGTAACTTGTGTCATCGCACTGAGTATTTGTAAACAAGTAAAAAAAATTCAGGTTTGCCAAAATCTTCATTAAGATTGTGCTGTTTTAAAAGGGACCATTACCACGTGGGAACGAAGAAGATTTGAAAGAAAGGACTCCTTTTGTTCAGAACAAAGCAAATACCAAATGGCGAAAATCTGAGATAAAAACTGAAAACGCCAGAACTATTGAGCAGACTGAGTAAACTCAGAGGTTAATGCTTCAACCTGAAATTCTGTAGAAATGATTTAAAAAGGCACATATGACACTTTAAAAATAATTAAAACAAATGTCAGGAGTACAGACAATGTCGTGATAAGGAGCAACAAAGTTGCAGAAGAGTCTGAGGTATGTTGTGATTTAACTTGGATTTCAAGAGTCATGCATCAGCGACTCTGCTGGAGGACTGTAACTACAGCAGCTGTACGGCATAAATGTCTGATCTGAGATTCTCACGTATACGGTCCAAACATAGTTTGAACAAACATTTTCACGTCTCGTTGGTGCATATCAAAACAGAAGAGGCCTATTAAACCAGATATGCTGTATTAAAAGCCAGCTGATTCAGCTAAGGCTGTAAAAATATAAATGATACATAAAAAAAATACTGTGGCTACAAGAGCAGGTTAGGGACTGGGAATTCTGTGGAGACTGGGAACTCATCACCTGACTCCTTAAAGCATGTCCACCAACTGAAAGGCACAAGTCAGGAGTGATGGAATAATCTTCACTTACCAAGTTGGGTGCAGCTCCAACAACACTCAAGTAGCTTGACACCATCCAGGACAAAGCAGCACACTTGATTGGCATCCTGTCTAACACCTCCAACATTTACTCCCTTCACCACCAGAGTGACAGCAAAGCGTGCTATTTACAAGATGTGCTGTAGTAATTCACAAAGGCTCCTGTTGACTGGACCACAACATTTTGCTTACCTCACCCTATCAATGCCAGTGTTAAGGTCAAGGTGGCAAAGTGGTTACTATGCAGTGGCAAACCTAGCTCTGTCAACCCTGCAAAAGCCTCCTCACCAACATGTGGAGACATGTTCTGCACCTCAATACCAGGCAAGACCATCACTAAGCTCAACACCATCCAGGGACCCCATTCACCACCTTAAACAATCACCTCTGCCAATATGTATCATATACAAGGTGCACCATCCACAGCATACATGACAATAATCCAATAAGCATCCTACGACAGTAAGACAGCACCTTCCAAATGTGTTATCTTTACCATCTAATTGGACAGGATTGGATGCATGTAAACACTGACTACAGGTTCTCCTCAAAGTCACACCATGCTTTCAGAGGATGAGGATGTCACTGACTAGGCTAGCATTTATTGCCCATCCCTAATTACCCAGAGGGCAGTTGAGAGTCAATCACATTGCTGTGGGTCTGGATTTACAGATAGCCTAGAACAGGTAAGGATTTCCTTTGCCTAAAGGCATTAGTGAACCAGACAGGTTTTTCCCAACAATGGATTCATAACTGGATTCTTAATTCCAAACTTTTATTGATTTATTTTGTTCTACCGTCTGCTGTGGCAGGATTCAAACCCAAGTCCCCATAATGTTACCTGAGTCTTTGGACGAACTGTCCAGTGATAATACCACTATGCTGTCACATCCACTTACAACCATATTGCTATTCCTTCAATTTTACTGGGGCAAAACCTCGGAACTCCCTTCCTATCAGTACTGTGGGCATCCCATATCCCCAAGGACTGCAGCAGTTCAAGAAGTCACCTCATCACTACCTTCTCTAGAGCAATTAGGGAGAGAAGTCCCTATTCCATGGATTTAAAAAAAACACATTGGTCAGAACGTAATCTTCCTGTTAGGTTGTGGCTGGAGTTACAGATTAACCCATTGTGTTACTGAGCACAGAAAGAACCTAACTTTACAGAGAATATTGGTGCTGACCTCCCCCAGTAATCTGGATTGAGTGCTGACAGTTTATTCAGCAACAGGAATTGCCAAAGTTAAGTCTCATCTTACTCTTACCAACACTAGTGTACACACATTGTTCTCACTTAGCAACCTTTATTTTATTTTGGTGCTTTCTTTATTTCAGTAATGTTAAGCCATACTACAGTTTCAGTCGTGACCCTGCCCATGAGCCCTACATTTCAAGTCCCACCTGTTTCAGAGGTGTGTCATAGCACATCTGAACAGCTTGATCGATTAAAAAGTATCTTCAGTGACAAGTGCTCTGTCTTTTGTTTCCTCTTCAACACTGAACTGAACAAATCACCCAAAGGATCATTAAATGCACTCCTCCCGCTCAGCCTCTTATCCTCTGGGCTCTGTCAACTGCAGTTCATTGGTTTTTGCACACTCATGTCCATGATCTAACTTGCACCAAGTTCTACTTGTTCAACACTCCTGACTTCACTAACCTGCATGGATTTCCGCTTCCCCCATGTCTTGGTCTTAAAAGTTTAAGTTGCAAATTCTTCCTTGTCCTTCTTCCTCAACTCTAATCTCCTCTAGCATCATCACTCTCCATCGAGCTGCTGTGCAGTTCCTTTTATTCCATCTCATTAAGTTACGTCATCAGCCCTATAAGACTTATACTCTGGAAGTTCTTCTAATCCTGTGCCCATCTACTTCCCCGGTTTTTCCTTAAGCCAACCATAAAACTCACTTATTTGACTCTCCGTCTTCTTTGTTAACTTATTTCCTTGTGTCTCTGAAGTGCACTGGAACACATTTCTACGCTAAAAAGGTATGAAATGAAAGTTGTCAGTTCTTTTAACATCAATCAACAACGTTTTTCACTTTGACATTTTAATAAACTTTAAGAAAATCAAACATTTGATAAACAAATTACTTTCAGTAAGTGGTTATTGTTAAAATTCACATTGGGATACATTAACAGAACGTTGGGGTGGTATGGTGGCTTGGTAGTTAGCACTGCTGTCTGACGGTGCCAGGGACCCAGATCCAATTCTATCCTCATGACTGTCTGTGTGGAGTTTTCACATTCTCCCGGTGTCTGCGTGGGTTTCCTCCAACCGTCCAATAATGTGTGGATTAGGTGAATTGACCATGATAAATTGCACATAGAGATGTGTAGGCTAGGTGCATTAGCCATTGGAAATGTGAGGTTACAGGGAGAGATCTGGGTGAGGTGCTCTTTGGAGGGTCAGCGTAGATTTGATGGAGTGAATGGTCTGCTCCCACATTTTAGGGATTCTATGATTCTAAATATTGCTCAGAAATCTGAGAGGAAAGTGCACTGCAAGTTTTGTTTTGAAAAAAAAAGTTTTACAAGGCAAGATAATTAATTTATGTTTTTATTGATACAGTTAAACATACAGGGCCACATCTCTTCCAATGAAGCCAAGCTAGAGAGTCAATGTCTGCAGTTACACCAGCTGCACAGCTCTGGATTTAAAGGTCTATACTTCCTTTTCCTTTAAACTTTTTGGCAGAACGTTCACTTGATCTCAGCTGAAACTTGCTTCCATAGATATAGGAAACAAAGCCGTCGATTTCAACACTGAAGATACTATTTTGCTTGGGAATAACTGGGTTACGGGAGGTGGGGGGGGAAGGCGGAAATATAAAGTCATTAGAACAATGTATGAAGTCTAGTTGCTTCAATTCTTTTGTAGTTATTTCAATACATGACGACAAAAGTTACGGTGTAATAAAAATATGCGGGAGCCACAGCTAGTGATGTTGCTATCACAACACAGTCAATAATTTTACCGAAAAACATTTACAGTTTATATGTAAAACAGGGAATAATTGCTATCTGGGAGTGATTATAAACTGTTAATACAAGGAATTGAACAAGCCAGAACCAACCATTAATTTATGCTTTGCAACCCACCATTTAATCGCACAAGGCTTTTGACTGAAATTGGCTGCAAAGTTCAAAATTCAATTGGAGTTTAGTCCATAGAGCTCACACTGCACTAAGTACAGATGATGGAATGTGACAAGCTAAACAGAACTTTATCTTGCTCAGCTGTACTTTGGTTTGCTCGGCCAGAAACAGACTGATCACATGAGGACAATACGTTGCATAACCCTGTCAGTTTTGATACCTACCTATCTATTTTGTCACAGGGGAAGAATAGTTGAGTTTCAATAATACACACATTTAGAGTTACCTTTTACTCAGTCAGGTCTACGTCCCTTCATAGCTCAGAGGAAGGAGAAAAACAGTAGATAAATAAAGTTGTGGACTGTTCCTATCACATACCATTTCAGACTGCAACAGTGTTGGTAACCTATCCTTCAGGTAGGCTTATTTATTTGGTAAGCAGTGTGAGATAATTGCTAGGATACTTCCATCCAAGAGGGAACAGTTAATTTATTTGGCCAAACCCAACACAGGAAGTAGATCAGCAATCAACCTTCCTGATATTTTTTGAAAAGGTCACTGGACTCGAAACATTAACTTTGTTTCACTCTCCACAGTTTCTGCCAGACGTGTTGAGTTTTTCCAGCAATTTCGGTTTCAGATTTACAGCATGTGCAGTTTTGTTTTTATGCTGATTTTTTTTATACAGTTAGGAATGAAGACAAAGTAACCCAAGCCAGTTAGCTTTGTAAAAAAGCCAGAAATAGCAAAAGAAAGTACTTGCATTTTAAACTCATAACTGGCCAAAAACCTTCCAGCTGCAGCTCAGTTGGCTGCACTCAACTGTGAATCACAAAGTTCTGATTCAAGTCCTACTCCAGGAACTAAGAATAATAAAAAAGTCAAGGCTTTCACTCTAGTGCAGTGCTAAGAGTCTGAGCTGTGGAAGGTGGTCTCTTTTGGAAGATATTGTAAACTAAGGCCCTGTTTGCCGTACCAGGTAATTGCAAAAGATTTGTTGATACTAGTTTGAAGTGGCAGAGACATCACCCCCA